GCAGAGAGCCCGATGCGGGACTCGATCCCAGGACCCTGGGATCATGACCTGAGCCGAAGGCAGACGCTTAACCATCTGAGCCACCCAGGTGCCCCACTGGTTTTATTTCTATAGCTTTATAGTAAGTTTTGAAGTAAGAGGGTGTGAATCCTTTTTTTTTTTTCAAAACTGTTTTAGCTCTTCCTTGAGATTCTATACGAATTTTTAAATGGATTTTTCTATTTCTAAAAAAAAGTCATTGGGATTTTGATAGGGATTGCATTGAATATGCAGATCAGATTGGGTGCTATTGATATCTTAACAATATTAATTATTCCAATCCATAGACACAGAATGTATTTCCATTTATTTATACCTTTAATTTCTTTCAGTAATGTTTTTATACTTTTCACTGTACAAGTCTTTCACCTCCTTGGCTAAGTAAATTTCTAAGGATTTCATTCTTTTTGTTGCTACTATAAATAGGATTATCTTCATATTTCCTTTTCAGATTGTTCACTGTTAGTGTACAGAAATGCAACTGACTTTTGTGTGTTTTGTATCCTGCTAATTTGCCGAATTCATTTATTAGTTCTAACAGTTTTGTTAGAACTAATAGATTTGTTTGGAATCTTTAGGGTTTATACACATAAGATCATCATATTATCTACAAAGAGGTAATTTTACTTCTTCCTTTCCAATTTGGATGCCTTTTATTTTTTACTTAATTGCTTTGGTTAGATCGTCCAGTACTCTGTTGGGGAGAAGTAGCCAAAGGCAGACATTCCTGCATTGTTCCTGACCATAGAGAAAAACCTTTCTATCTTTCACCACTGAGTGTAATGTTTGCTGTGGATTTTTCACATATGGCTTTTATTACATTGAGGCAACTTCCTTCTATTCCTAGTTTGTTGAATGTTACCATAAAAGGGTGTCAAATTCTGTCTGCATCAATTGAGATGATCATGTTTTTTTTCCTTTATTTTGTTGATATACTATATTACATTGGTTGATTTACATATATTGAACTATCCTTGCATTCCAGGAATCCCACTTCGTCATGGAGTATAATCCTTTTGAATTGTCTGCATTTTTTTTAAATTTATGCATCAGCATTCATAGGGGATATTGGTCTATGGTTCTCTATTCCATTTTTTTTTTAAGATTTTATTTATTTGACAGAGAGAGACACAGTGAGAGAGGGGACACAAGCAGGGGGAGTGGGAGAGGGAGAAGCAGGCTTCCCACAGAGCAGGGAGTCCGACGTGGGGCTTGATCCCAGGACTCTGGGATCATGACCTGAGCCAAAGGCAGACACTTAATGATTGAGCCACCCAGGCATCCTGGTTCTTTATTCCTGTAGTGTATCAAGGTAATGATGGCTTTATAAAACAACTAAGGAAGTGTTTTTTCCTCAATTTTTTGGAAAAGTTTGAGAAGAACTGGGGTTAGTTCTTTAAATATTTGGTAGAGGGCGCCTGGGTGGCTCAGTTGGTTAAGCGACTGCCTTCGGCTCAGGTCATGGTCCTGGAGTCCCGGGATCGAGTCCCGCATCGGGCTCCCTGCTCGGCAGGG